CCAGGCCCTCCCTGCTGATACAGCAGGGAGTGTCTGCTACCAGACAACGCGAACCTGGCTTGAAAGGGCCTGGCTACGAATGGAGGAGGCCAAAAACGTGGCCTTGGTCCGAACAGATCGTAGATCTGTTCGCACGAACTGCAAGTCCGAAACGTCACCTGAAACAGACAAAAATAGAACAGACAAACAACAGCACACATAAGTAAAGGAATAAATGAATAAATAAATGACGGCTGCCTCAAATCTGTACCTACGGCCTGTCCAATGGCCGTGGGCCTCCAGGTCACGTGCTTGGAACAGGCGCGCGGCCTAGGGGCCCTCAACAACCGTCGGGTCCAAAAATGGCCCCGTGTGTCAGGCTCAGCATGTAACAGCTGGCCAAAGCCCGCGCAAATATGCAAAAGGCTCAGGTCCGTATGCAGCAGCAAGCGAACCGGCGTCGCATCCCATGTCCAACCCGCGCTGGCGACCTTGTTTGGGTCACCTCCGAGGAATTTGTGCTCGAGCAGCACGTCTCGTGCAAACTCCTCCCTAAGTGGTTTGGGCCATGGAAGGTCACTTCATCAGCTGGCGACGACCCCGCGGGTCCCTCCTTCATAATCGAGATTCCCCCGCATCTGACAGTCCACCCGAGTATTTCACGATTCGAAGCCGGTGGTCTACACTCCAGCCTCACGAACAGAATTCCCAGGCAGACGGTCCCACAACCCTCCTTCGATGGATGGTCACCAGGAGGTCGACCGCGTCCTTGCTCATCGCAAGCACGCCAACAAGAATCTGCTAATGCAGGTTACAAATTTAGTCAAGAAGAAGAAACTTATAACATTGTAGCAGCTCATGGCTACTTTGGTCGCTTAATCTTTCAATATGCTAGTTTTAATAATTCTCGTTCTCTTCATTTCTTCCTAGCTGCTTGGCCAGTTGGGCGTTCTTTCCGATATCTACGCATTTCACCGCTCCACCGGAAATTCCCTCTGCCTCTACCGGACTCCAGCTTAACTCATTAGAAGAAAATCCAACAGACATATTCCTAAAGTATACCATCTTACAGTTTGATTTTCCCTACTAGGAAGTAATGGAGCTGAAGAAGTCTTGAAACTGAGAGATTGTATAGCAAAAGTCTACATGAATAGAACAGGTCAACCAGGATGGGTTATATATCGTGATATGGATCGGGATATATTTATGTCAGCACTAGAAGCCAAATCTTATGGAATAGTAGACTTGGTTTTATATCAGAAGCCTCATTCCAAGAAACAACTCGTGTATTAACTAAGGCTGCAATTAAGGGAAGGACTGATTGGTTAAAAGGACTTAAAGAAAATGTCATTTTAGGAAGATTGATTCCAGCAGGGGGGGACCTATCCTAATAACCAACTTATAGAATTGTTGCCATTGAATCTAGTTTTCGTGTACATACAGTTGTATTAAATGATCCTGGTCGTTTAATAGCTGTCCATATTATGCATACTGCTCTTGTGTCAGGGTGGGCAGGTTCAATGGCTTTATATACATTCAAGCAATGCGATCCCAACGATACACGCTGGATTTCATGAGCTGACCTGAACGCGACAGCACCCCTCATCTTTGTGCATTACGAAAAACAGCGACTTGCTAAGGAAGATGACCAACCCGCCCGCCCCATACGGACATCGGACAGACAGCTTCGCCCTCGCAATTAGCTCGGTCTTCAAGGGGGGAAGTGTGTGGCATACTGATACCACACGGGCCCCAGTTAGGGCCCGGTTCTGTAGTAGGCATGGTTTAGGCCTAGGTACCGGGTCACGACGGTCCCAGCTAGGTCCAGGTAGGCCTAGGAACCGTCGGTTCAGTTTAGGGTCCCGTAGGCCTCGTTTAGACCCTACCAGACCCAACGGCTAGTTGGTTAGGCCAGGTACCAGTCATCGGTAGGACTGGCCGGTGGCGCAGTTTTAGGCGCCACTTTTCAGATTCAAATCGGATCTGAACCGTTGGGCCCGATCAACGGTCCAGACCCGAAGGCACTCAGTAGGACTGAGGCCGACCCAGCACTATATCAGCTGGGTACCAGCCTCAGTCGGTAGGTTAGTGGCGAGGCCGACCCAGCACTATATCAGCTGGGTACCAGCCTCAGTCGGTAGGTTAGTGGCGAGGATGTTAGTCTACAGGATTAGCGCAGCACTTCAGCGTTAGCAGCAGAGAGAATCAGCGCAGCGTGGAGGAGAGATAGCGCAGCGGCAGATTAGCGCAGTGGTGGAAGAGCACCAGCCTCCGGCCCAGCGCCAGCCCTGCAGCGCCATAGCTGCCTCGGGCAGGTATCAGGGAGAAAGGCCTTGCCTTTCCTCCCTCTTCTTCCTCCTCCCTCTTCTTCCTCCTCCACTCTCTCTCTCTCTCTCTCTCTCTCTCTCTCTCTCTCTCTCTCTCTCTCTCTCTCTCTCTCTCTCTCTCTCTCTCTCCGACGACCCACTAAGTCTACTTCTGGGTTACTCCTACTGGACCACTAGAGTATGAAGGATGGTTAGTAGGTTACGAGTTCTGATGATGTTGGAGATGGCAACATTGAGACTGCAGGTTGAGGACTACTTTGGGATCTGATTTCATCTACCTCTGGAGATATACCTTGACATTGTGAGATCGATATCTGAGACACTGTGAGACTCTTGTGTTCGTGACATTTTGGATTTGCGCTATTTCTGACATTTCGAGATACTACCTTTGGAAACATTGAGTTGACGTCATCTTCCCTCTCCTCCTCCCTTCGTCTCTCCTCCCTCCATTCATCCGTGTATGAGAATTGACCCTGGCCTTTTCTTCTATGACCAAGGCCAGGGCTTCCCACCACCGATGTATGTTTGTGAGTGTTTCGTTGCAGTCTGAGTCAGGTCTGAGTCAATCCATGTATCTCAAGTTTTCTGCTGTATTTGTACTTAATCTGTATTATCTGGTCGGTTCTGGGAATCTGCACCATACTTATGACTGTGTTTCACTAGTATGCAACAGCGTGTGTGTGTGTCTGCTGTATTTGTACTTCCTCTGTATTATCTGGTCGGTTCTGGGAATCTGCACCATACGTATGACTGTGTTTCACGAGTATGCAACAGCGCGTGTGTGTGTGTGTGTGTGTGTGTGTGTGTGTGTGTGTGTGTGTGTGTGTGTGTGTGAGAGAGAGAGAGAGAGACCCGCTCCTCTCTGCCTCTCTCTCTCTCTCTCTCTCTCTCTCTCTCTCTCTCTCTCTCTCTCTCTCTCTCTCTTAGAGGCAAATGCCCTCTACCGAAGGCAAGGGCTGTGGGGGCTATCGACAAAACAGCCGCGAAAAAACCCATTTCAGGAAAGAAAAACAACCTTGGCTATCGCCCCATGTCTTTTTCTTTTTTCCTCCCCCGTATACCCTGCGAAAATAAGGTCGCGGGTCGAGTACAAAAGAGTACAATGCGTTTTTTGTGCTCGCGTAGAATGCGTTGTACGCTAGTACAATTTTTATTTTTATTTTTATACGTGAGAATGCCTAGGATTGGTCAGTCAATCTTGGTTATATTCATCGTGTCCCTCCTGTGCCTGTCGTTGTCCTGGTCTTTGGCTATCCATAATAACTTGGCGTTCCCTGTTTCCGGGGGGCGCAAATGTACGTGCTCGTGCAGGCACACACACACACAATGTCAGCTTTTGACACAATGTCGAACTTTTCCTCTTCTTCCTGTATCTTGAGCAGTGTGATACGGTTTGCTGTTTCGCGCTGATGTGAAGTGTGCTTACCATACTGCTTGATGTCCGCAATTTTGCTCTCTCTCTCTTACTGGCACCTGTGCACACTCAATCATGGTCATATTCGCCCTGTCCCTGTGTCTTTGCCCAGCTCTCTCTCTCTCTCTCTCTCTCTCTCTCTCTCTCTCTCTCTCTCTCTCTCTCTCTCTCTCTCTGTTGTTTTATCTGCCATGTGCTGATACCACCACAAGTACCATGGAAAAAGCAGGAGCTTCCTCTCCCGATGCCCTCGAATGTGGGCCCATTCGGGCTCATTACATTACGGCCAAGCCTCATCAGTAAACTAAAAGGCAAACAAGTCAAATAGAAAAGGAGGAAAAGACCAGCCTTGGAACAGACCCCTGTTGCACCTCAACCTTCACCAAGTCTGGAAACCGAATGGGCCCACATTCAAGGGCACCGGGAGAGGAAGCTCTTGCTTACATTGTGAAGGCCCATTCGAGGCCCAATGGTCCACGAAACGTTCGAGGGCACGCGGAGCGTAAGCTCTTGCTTGGACTGTGAAGGCCCATTCGGTCTCAATTGTGGACCATTGGTCTGGGCCCAATGGTCCACAAAACATTTGAGGGCACGCGGAGCGTAAGCTCTTCTTTCTTGGACTGTGAAGGTCCATTCGGTCTCAACTGTGGACCATTGGTCTGGGGCCCGATGGTCCACGAAACGTTTGAGGGCACGCGGAGCATAAACTCTTGCTTGGACTGTGAAGGCCCATTCGGTCTCAACTGTGGACCATTGGTCTGGGCCCGATGGTCCACGAAACGTTTTGAGGGCACTTGGAGTGAAAGCTCTTGGACTGTGAAGGCCCATTCGGTCTCAATTGTGGCCATTGGTCTGGGCCCGACGGTCCACGAAACATTTGGGGGCGCGTGGAGCGTAAGCTCTTGCTTGGACTGTGAAGGCCCATTTGGTCTCAATTGTGGCCATTGGTCTGGGCCTGATGGCTCATGAAACGTTTGAGGGCACGCGGAGCGTAAGCTCTTGGACTGTGAAGGCCCATTCGGTCTCAATTGTCAATTTGATAGTGAACTTCGTCTAGGTGGCGTGAGTCACTCCCCTCGCATGGCAGGAGAGTTGCACAAAGTCCACAACGTCCACAGGACTGCACCTCACAAGGACTCTTCTGCATATGCCAGAGCCGTCGGGCGACGTTGCGGCCTGTCGACTGCTCCTAACAAGATAAAAGCTTCCGACCAGCGCGAGGCCGGTTGCCGTATCAGAACTGCTGCAGAGTGCCGCATGTTCTAGAGAGGGCAGGACAGTTCGCAGTGCAAGCACCTTGGAGGTACGCCGCGCACGCCACAAGGCCCACAATGCCGTGGGCACCGCCTGATGGGCCACCAGCCACAGCACGCTTGCATGTTTCACCATCGGGTGAGCAACCTAAAGTAAGATGGGAAGGCCTGATGGAGACCAGGCGAAGAAGAGTCCAGGACCCAGCCGGATGCCACCCACCTTCAAGTTTTGGAAAGCGTCTAGTTGACAGCACCCACCTTTTGGAAAGCGTCCAGCTGATATCAGCACGTGGATGTGAGAGCTGATATCCCAGTTTGGTAGAGTATAAGTACAACGGCATGTCATCATAGGAGAGAGGGCTTATGCTCCCCGTGCCAATTTCGAGCCCCCGGCAAGCCGTAAGGAGGCATTGCCAAGGAAAATAGCCTGTTAAAGCACCAGCACTTGGCCCAGCTCTCGATGCCGAGCCAGGAGCGCACCAAGTTCTGCCGAACCGCCAGGACGCCATTTCGTTTTCCTTTTGGCTGGCGCTTCCAGCCATTGTGGTCTGGTACCCCGAAGCCCGCAGATCGTGGCGCGTTAACGTGAAACACACACGGTCGATAGCTGGGCCAAGTACTGGTGGTTTAATGTCGTCAGACTGGAATCAACATTTCCACAGGAGGAAAGGCCTGCTGCTCCGAGGCCAGCTGAAGTGGCCGGCCTAACGAGTATGCAGCGCCCTGCACATCCCAACAAGAGGAGCATAGCAGAGTTCAATGAGTAGGGCCTTCAATCCTCCGGATACGAGTTGGAATGGTAGAACCACCCTTTCGGGATCCTCATAGCGGCCACCTTGCTGCAGCACAACTCCATTCCGAAGAGTTTTCCTGCCAGTGTTGAGGACCAGCCTGCTGCAGAGAACCAGGGTGCTGTTGTTGATGCCGCAAGCCCGATAGAGAGGGGTCAACATGTGGAAAGGTTTCCAGTGTTTCGACTTCGCGTCCCAAATGTCTGCAAGAGGTCCCAGCTTCCCAGGCTTCAAGCCGTCCAAAAATTCCCGACGGCTTCGTCAAAGAATTTCGATTTGAGCCTGAGGCAACATGTCGATCCACTGCTGTATAGGGACGCTGGACCCGATTTCCAGCAGGTGCTGCTCCCCACCAATACGTGGAGTCACCTGGGATGGCTACTGGGAGGGGCTGCTCATACCACTCCCCCTAGTTGAGGTCACAGGCTGTGTTAAAAAAAAAAAAAAAGCTCAGTAACTACTGACTACAATTTATTTTCCTACACCTTTTTTTTTTTTTTTTTTTCAATTTTCTACACTTAGCCTTATGGTTAGGTGTTTGCCTGCCAAGCCGTTGGCTGTGTTCGAGTCTTGTATTCAGATTACACGTGCTTTCGCGCAGTAACCGCCGTAGAGATTGTACTTTGGGCAGTGTGGCTGCTTAGGGGTGAGTGTGTTTGGGCACACCGTGTTGCGGGATCTCCGTGCTGGGGTGGGGTGAAGTGCTCATCTTGGGGCTTCACTTTCACCCCAGCCCACTTAGCCTTATGGTTAGTTGTTTGCCTGCCAAGCCATTGGTTGTGTGTTCGAGCCTTGTATTCGGATTGCACCTTTCCCGGCCGGGCCGCCCAGGCAACCAAGGTGACCTGGTTGGTAACACAGATCATAGCAGACACTACTTTCACCCCAGCCCACTTAGCCTTATGGTTAGGTGTTAGCCTGCCCAGCCGTTGGTTGTGTGTTCGAGCCTTGTATTCGGATTACAACTTTCCCGGCCGGGCCGCCCAGGCAACAAGGTGACCTAGTTGGTAACACAGATCATAGCAGACAATACTACATTCGATCTTACTCAGCCAAACGGCCGAGGAAAAAAGAAAACATACTTTCTTCCCAAAGTATGTGTATCTGCACAAAAAAAATCACTTACCGACCGAGACGCACACACGATCTTTACAATATTTTGCGACCCATAAATACAAAAACTTATCTGCGATATCGTTTTTCAACTCAGCGTTCACCTTCACCTTTGCTTACGATCTCATTTTTTGTGTCGTGGTACTTTGCATTTCACTTAATTTTAAGTTTTTTTAACCATCTTACAATATTATTATCATCCCTCATTTCCCCTCCTGAGACCCCATCCATCCTGAGATTACCCCCATCGTCTCTTTTTTTTTTTTTTTTTTTTT